CAGTGCCCAAACATGGGTGCAACATCCCAGGTAAAGGAGCAGCAGCAGCTCCAGAGAAACAAAGAGACAAAGACATTATCTGGCAGATACTGGGCTTAAAGTTTGAGCTGGGTCACCAAGAATGTTGATTCATATCAGCAACTCCAGTTATAGGGCAACGAAGGGCTCTGGTCAAGGCTGGCCCAGGCATGGGGAGAGCAGGTAAGGGATCAGGGCAGGAAGGCTCAAAGAGAGCAGGAATCTCATGCAGAACAGCATCACAGCTAGCCCTGAACACTGCGAGAACAACTCAAGGATCCAAAAATCAGGATGTTCTCCCCTAAACTAGGGAACCCCACCCCATGCACTGAGTGTTTAGGAGAGAAGAATTACCGTCCAGTGATTCTCCGGATGAGCAAGGAGTCGGGGATGCTGAACTCAATGACAGAGTCCAGCTTCTCTCTCCTCTTCTCCAGGAGCTCATCCAGCTGCAAGAGAAAACACCCACCCACCTCAGAGGGGCAGAGGCTCAGCCAAGGGACCCCTGACTCCAGGGAAGGAGATGTCAGAGCAGTCCCCAAACAGGAGCTCACGTACCATTTCAGCCTGCTTCACTGTGCGTGGGAAGCCGTCCAGGAGGAAGCCGTTCTTGCAGGGAGGGGAGTCGAGGTTGTTCTCAATCAGCTCCACCACCATCTCATCACTCACCTGTGGAAAGATGGGCACACAGTCAGGAAGGACACCCCGATTTTACACACGCTGCACCCACACCAGCACCCAGCTGCATCAGAGCCTCTTTACAGCCTTTCCTGGTCCCACAGGCAGCACCCACAGCACAGGGCAGTGCTGGAACAGGGTGAAAGCTGCGTGTTCAGACCTGCCCACGTCAAGGAAGCACTCCCTGCCATGGGTGTCAACACCAAGACGTGGCTAATGAGACATTTCACACCAGGGACACTCCAGCCTGTGCAGGGAATGAGACCAGTACTGTAACCTCACTGTTACAATGGGTGCTGTATTTCAAGGGAGACCATCAGCCTGAAGACAAACAAACTCCTTAGATTTTTAATTATAAATTCACAATACAAAATATCAACAGAACCTTTATTTCCTGTTACTTTGTACCTTCACCCACACATCTCCCTCAGTAGGCAGGCCTGGCCAGGAAGGGCAAAGCAGGTGAGTTGCTCATTGACTCTCATAAACCTCGTGTGAAGGTAAATGATAAAGTTGCTTTCAAGCTCTGGCCTTGTTGGATATTTTTTCCCCCTATCACACCCTCGGCATACTGCTGGGATTAGTGCCTTTTCCACACTGCAGCATTTGGAAAGCACTAACAGATGCTGCAGCCCCAACAATAGCTGTTTATTTGAGAGCAGCTCTCCTCAGCAGCGCTGTTTTCTCCAGCAGACACAGCTGGAACCCAGCAGGATTGGGGACCAGACTGTCCCAGCTCATGTAAACAGGAGCCCTGGAGCGGGAAGAGTACGGGCAGGAGGGAGTTTGGGTGAAACAACAAGTCACTTCTGTGCTTTCCTGATTATCCCTTTCAGAGAAGGGGGGGTCCTGCTTCATAATCAAGCATAAAAACCCATCCCAAACGCTGCTGTGCTCCCAGCTGAGTTATCTCCCAGCCGGAGCGCGCTGCTGGGACGTGCCTGCGGAGCAGCCCAGTCCTGGCTGCCACACACGCGGGGCAGATACCACCAGCCTGGCCAGATAATGTCCCTATCTTTCATAACCAGCTGGGGTATTGCAGGCTCAGTGTTGCAATACAAGCTTTGAGAGAAAGCTGGAGATAAGCCACGTCGCTCTCCCCACGCCGGGGCCTGCAGAGTCTCCGTGGGGTGTTAGGAGCCCGTGACAGCCAGCAGCGATGCCCAAGGTCTGCCCCACACGGCTTAGCTTTGGGGCAAGTTGCTGCAATTTACTGTTCTTCAAGTTTCCCCAAGATATTTCAGTCATTTTTGGCAAGATAGTTAGATCCTCAGAAAAGGGATGTGTTGGAGACCCCAACTCTTGTCTCGTGGGGATCCAGAGTGTCTCTTTCACACGCAGAACACGCCGTGTAACTACAGCAGCAAGACCCCTACATCTATTTTCACCTTATGGTTACAGGGCAAATGACATTTATGCAAGAGCTGGGATGTAGATGAACCCTCTGATCAAACTCTTCCACCCCATAGAGGTCCAGGCATCACAGGAAGAGACACAGGAGCTGCAGAGAACGACTGTAACATCCTATAGCAGCTCCCAGGATAAACCTTCCCCTCCCAGCAGCGTTGAGGAGCCACAACCCAGACAAACCTGTGAAGATGAAAGCACCGCGGTGGAGAGAACCAGCCCAGGGACACCGAGGCTGCTGGTGAGCAAGGAGCAATTTTAAGGAGCAACCATGTTTTTATGGGATGTTTCTCCTGCGGGATAATGAGCAGGAGAAGCCCCACCCCTGCCCTCACCCTACAATCTGCTCTTCCTCCACTAATTGCATTTTGTTACTGAGGCTTCTAATTAAAGAGATGAATTTTGACCGCTCTCATTCCAGGTGCTCCCAGACCATCTCTCCTCCCCACCCATCTCCTCGGTACCCACCAGCTTCCCCGAATCCATCGTCTCTTTGAGCCGCTTGCCCAGCTCGGACCCCGAGGCCACCATGGCCCGCAGCATGTCCCCAGTTGCCAGGTGGCACACGCAGTAGGTCTCAGCCAACTTCGGAGCCTGCGGGAGAGGACAGACGGGGTGAGCTCAGCGTGAGGGTTCCAGCCGGGGTTTGAGCCCCCAGCTCCGGTGGGGCCTCGTCCCCACTCGCGGGATGCTCTGTAACCGGCCAACACGTGGCAGGGCCCGGCACACGGACCTGAGTTGTTCCGGGAACCCAGCGAGGGCACCGGGTCCCCGCG